TCGCCCCCCCAGCAGCAATGTACGGAGAACACTCCCCCTCCCCAGGCCTGGGACGGGGAGCCCGCCGTCCAGCCGCTGGGCCCGAACACTGCCCGCCCCCTGCCCGCCGGGGCACCTGGGCCGGGGCGGCTGGTGCTGACTCAGGGCGGCCCGGCCCGCCACCTCCTCACGGCGGGCAGACCCTGGGGCAGGGAAGTGACACAGCACACGCTCAACCCGCCCCGGCTTGGCCGTCAGGGAGCGGCTGTGTCTCCGTCAAGACTTCTGAACCCCCCCCTCTTTCCCCAAAGACTAGAACGGAACTGGTACCAGAAGCCAAGAGTGCTGGGATCGGGTCCCTGCTCTGCCTCCGCCACTGTGTGACCCTAGACGAGCCTCAGTCATTTCATCTGTAAAATGGCTAACACTGAAGATTGTCAGGGGTCCCTTCAGCTCTGACACCCTGTTGCCCTGCGATTCTGGACTTCTCTGGGACGAGAGACCGGAGGGTCTTGGGTCTAACTCTACCGGCTGTGTGGCCCTGAGCAGGCAGCCTGTGCTCTGAGCCGTCTTCTAGCCCCATTGGGCTCCAAGTCTCTGAGATGGAAGGCCATCTGCCTGCCGCTCCCCCCCGGCCCCTGGGGACCAGTGATTTCCCTGGGGAAAAACCTGCTTTGGGGTTCCAACTGCATACCAGAGGCCAGGCCTGTAGTATCATGCCCAGGAGGGATGAGCCCCAGTCTCTCTCTGTTGCAGCCTCGGAGAGAGGGGTGAGGCTGGGCTGGGTCCGGGAGGGGGCTGAGGAGGGAGTGCCCCCCTCCATGACATGGGTCCCCCCCCCGAAGGATCGCTTCACCAGACCCAGACAGCCCAGGGAAGATCCCAGGGGCAGGGGGGAATCACGGACAGGTGAGAAGACGGATGGAGCCCGAGGGAGAATGAGTTTCGAAGGTCGGACTAGAACCCACTTCTCGTGCCTGCCAGGCCAGGGCTTGGGACCGGAGACCCAGAGAAGTTAAGTTGCTTGCCTAGGGCTACACAGCAGGAGGAGACGGCAGCCTCACGATGCCTGATTAACCCCACGTCTTTTCTGTCAACCCCCTGCCTTCACACGCCGAAGTCTTGGCTCACGGCTTGGCTCCAGGAGAATAAAAGCAGCTTAATGAGGCGTTTATTAAGTGCCAGCTCTATGCCAGGTGCTGAGCGGGCACTTTACCCCCATTGTAATCCTCCCGGCAACTCCATAAAGTAGGTGTTGTCTCCTCAGTGCGGATGAGGAAACTGAGGCTTGGTGGAGCTCAGAGAGGGCAGGTATCTTGCTCACAGAGCTAACAGCGGGAGGAGCTGGACCCAGCACCCGGGTCTGTGGGCTCTGAGCCTCTTTTCCCCGGGAGAAAATGCATCACGGCCGATGTCTCTGAGCCCTGCCTCTGATGGGAGCTTTGGCGCCTTGCTGCTGGCCCCCAGCTTGACTCAGGACAGTAAAAGCACTTTCACGAGGCTCCTTGTCCCCGGCAGGCTCCCAGACATGGTGCTCTCCCCAGCGGGGATGGGGGTCGGGGCACAAGGATGACCAACACAGGACTGGGGAGACCAGGGCTACCGGCAGCTGAGGCCACGGCAGGTCCCTTTGGAGCAGGAGGGAGGGCCCGACAGCCTCGGTGCGTCCAGAGGCCCCAGGGACGGCCCGGTCAGCTGTTCGCGGGCACCCGCCGGAGCCCAGAAGGAGCACGGCTGGCCCAGGCTCGCGCCACGAATCCGGGGAGTTGTCTCCTGCCTGCTCCAGCAATTCCCAGCCCAGGCCCAGGGCCCTCACCTGCCAGGTGGGGAATATCTGATAACATCGTTCCAGGTGTCAGCTCCGTGTCTCCCAAGGCCTCCTACCCGACGTTTGCATCTTAATTGAGAGTTTGAGGAGAGCCAGGAGGAGCCCTGCCAGGAAGGAGGGCACCGGCCAGCCTCTTGGAGCACTGGGGCAGGGGCGGCGCTCCCTCCCACGACCCCTGCCGACGTTATTCGCGTCGCAGAGGAGGACGCTGAGGTCAGGGCGCTCAGAGCGGGCCAGGGCCTGCGTGGGGCTCCACAGAGCCCCGGTCCCCCGGCTCGGCAGGCTCACCTTGAGGCCAGCCGTCCTCGCCCTGGGCCAGCAGAGAGGGGCCGGTCCTCTCACGGGCCCCCCGGCTCTCCTCTCCAGCTCGGCCACCCCCTTGCTATGTGACCGTGAGCCTCTGTTTCTTCATCTGCAAAATGGGGACTGGCCACGTGTCTTGCGGCAGTAACAGTGAGCCACCCACAAGCTATTGAGTGATCCGAGATGCTTGGTGCGGGGCAGGGCCGCCCCTCCACACTGGGACCACGCCCTGCGTCCTGGCAGGCGCTGGTCTGCATGGGCTGCTCTAGCCTCCTTCGTGGCTCCCGAATGATCTCCAGGCTTAGGGATCTTCCCAGGGTAAACGCCACGGGGGGGGGGTGGGGGGGCAGATGGGCTTGCATACCACTCAGACCCACACCCAGGCCTCTGCTGCTGTCTCGCCATGCTGTCCCAAGATAGTTGCTTTGCCCCTCTGACAGCACCTGTCTCAAAGCATGCTGGGACTCAAATGGGAAAAGAGGTTATGTCAGGCTCTCAGTGT